ATTAAAAAATATGAACGAGGCACCTTACTTGGCTTGGGAACGCAGGTGGGCTTGGTACAGACACAGTCCGATCCAGGAACAGGATCTCGCTTTATTTTTTTCACCTTACTTTTTGAGCATGTCACCGTCCACGTAGGGCAGAGAGACGTACAGGAAATACGAGTTCCTGGATTGCACTTGCAGCGCCACTTGCAGGAATCGATGAATGTATCGCCGACATGGTAGAATTTGCTTTTATGTCGGCAGACATCTGGAAAAAAAATGAGGCAACCTCAGGGCCGAGGTTAGGCGGCCTGCGAAGAGAATGTTCCCGAATGAATGTTAACAGGAAAATCTCTCTATTTAAAGGGCATCGGCACGTATGTGAGTTTAAAAGAATTAAGATAGCAGGAAAAAACTATATTTAAAGGTTAATGGCATGAGTGTCAGTTTCAAAAGAAGTTTCACACTCTCTTTTATGTCCCACGCGTGATAGTGAATTTAATTATAATTTATACATGGCCTAGTTGAACATAGGGTCGGGCTCAAAAGGACTACATTATCATAGCTAAGAACGAAGGTAAACTTGGTAGAAAAAATTAATTATACAGGTTTTTGGGAATTTTAATGCATTCGAACCTCTGTTAACGACCCTCTGTTTACCGGTCACCCTCCATTAAGCGATCACTCATGGATTCCCAAAAAGTCGATTCTCATATATATTTACTGTAACGTGACCTCTATTAAACGGCCAACCTCTCATATCAAGCAGCCTCTTGGTCTTTCCACAAGGTGACCGTTTAAAAGAGGTTCGTTATGGATGTCTTCCATTCGGCCTTGGCTTTGATGTTTTAACCTTTTTGAACCAGTCAACGCTTTAATTATCACTTAGATGTATATATTTTCCTGGACACACCTCCGGGAGTTCAATGTAAAACATTAAGGAGTGCATTACATAATAACAGCGTGATCATCCGGTCTATGAATTGAACCCAGTCTGGCGGACCCAAAAATGAACTCTCTCGAATCGAGTCCGCCACATTTCTCGTGGTCAAGTTATTTGCGCATTTTCTTTTCAGTCYAAGGCGTGCGTCTTCAAGTACTTTCAACTTAATTCTTAACGCTGCTAATTGGCTGTTTTTACACATGCACGAACTTTTGAAACGTGCCATTTCATAATCCCACATGTGTTAGCGCTTACCCCCCATACATTATGCAGGGACTTAGATTTGTTTGGCTTATTACCAAGTCATCGAGACTCGGAGGTCCCAGAGCGCAAACACTGTGCTCAAACCGTGAAAAAGTACTATCCAAATAAAAATAAAATAATTTAATATAGTGTAGATTAGACTATGTAAAACAAAGGAATTCGCAGAATTCAGTATAATTTAGAACTATTTGATTCAATCCTGAATTTTCCATGGTTTTAGTCTATGTACTCTGCAAAGACTATGTAGATTTATGTATGATGTGTATTTTCAAGGACTTGAAAAATATGCACAGTGAAAATAGTATGAAAATTTTTGTTACAAATTGCAGTCTCAGATTGTCACAGATCCATTCAAGAATTTTTCATGAGTAGTTGAATTGTATCACACACTTAAAAGATATTAAAGATATATGCCAATGTCTCTATGTCTTTAAGTGCACATGTCAGTAACCATTAGAAATTCATTCTTATCCAAAAGAAATGCTGCTCTTCAAATTTTATTTTCTAAGTTATGGACAATTGAAACTTAGAAAATGCAAATGAAGTGACGTCTACTAAGGAAACAAATCATGAAACAGAACTTTTCTTCATTTTGTTAGATTGGAAAAAGCATTTTCAGCTCTCATAATACTATGATTGATGATTTGAGCTCTTCGACAAAGAACAACATAACACAAACAATATGTAAAAAGTCTGGAACAATTCCTTAGTTGACCTCACTTCATTTGTATATTTTTAATTTTCAAATGTCTTTAATTCAGATAATGCAATTCAAAATCTATTTCTTTGTTCACAGAAGAGCTTGTTTCGGATAAAAGTGATTTTCTAAAAGGTGCCATATGCACTTTAACAACGGAACAACGTTAATGTCGGATTGAATATATCTGTACCTGGTCGTTTAGTAGTTTTAGGTTTCTTCACGCAGTAAGGTTCATCGCACTGACATTGAGAWCCAAGAACGTTCACTTTTCTGTACTTTGTGATCTCGTCATAACTGCATCTTGTTGTGAATAGTCTGTAGCACAATGTCATACATCGGTACCGTCCWCCTTGGTAGCACGTACAACGCCATCTACACGAGGAGTCGGCCCACGTCTTACCTGGATCGTAGTACTTACCATTTCGAACGCATTGACGGGCTAGAAGCAAAAGTTGCAGTTTGATATATGTATTGCCCAAGATTCTGATATGAGTATATCAAAGTTTATGTACATTCGGAAGAAAATGGATGCACCATATATGGTAGAATGATATTTTTCTGACGTGAACGATAGGAAATYGCCCTAGAAAAAAATCCAGGGGGATTGTGTTAGGGCGAGGTAGACTGGAACTAGCGACCGCATTTAAAATCCCATGAGTTTGCTGAAGATAAATGTGGTTTGAAAAACATCACACTAAATATTCAACCTTGGAGAAACAAAGCACAATAGATCTCTGGCTGATACTAAAGAAACRATTAAAAAAATTCAATAGCGAGCCAAAGACAACGGTGACAAGGGAAATCCTTTCACAGCTAGATAAATACTATTGAACGCCCATGAGCTGTTTATTGTGTGCAACTCAAATACCCAGCGTTTTTTAACACGTGATTGGCAGGAAGTGATAAAGTTATTGCGTGCGTAGAACGTACAGTAATCAAAGAAACACTTGCTCTGAAATGTTGCGCTGTAATGTATATTCATATTATTTTCATATAATGTTTAAAATATTATTCTGAACGCCCATGGGCAGTTTTCATGTGCGTATCTCTGGAATATTTGGCGTTTCTTAGAACGTGATCAAGCTCAAAAAACTGGAAGGACCTCGCATCGTCTCGTGCGTAGCGCAGTAAAATACTCGCCCTGAAATGTTGCGCTACTAAGCAGTGTATATTATTTCTATACAGTGTATGTACATGGGACTTCTTTTATGTGCGCAACTCATGGACATCACTTTGGCGTTTCTTGGAACGTGATCAGCTCCAAAACCTGGCACTGTCTCGTGCACATCGCAGTAATCCGAGAAACGCTCGCTCGAAAACATTGCGCTACAATTTAGGYTGTGCTAGCTCTATCCGAAACGCCTCGTTCGACGAAAATGTACCCTTTGAAATACCCTATCATCAACTAAACTGAACATAACACAAATACAACGATAAAAAACCACAAAAACATGAAGACAGAACGTACGCTTCCTCATGTCAATTACACATCACCTTTCGAAATCGATCAACACAAGAACTACAAAAGCTTCTTACCTTGACTTCCAGCAGCAAATGCCATGATAGCCAAACTGATATAGATTATTCCCATTGCGCTATAAGATTAACACCAACAGATTGATTCCTATGACCAACAGCTTTTGGTTTTAAATGCTATAGGGTGTAACTTAATATGTTTTTTTTTAAAGATCGATAGGTGGGGAATGATACTGCTGCGAATTAAAATGCCCTGATCGAAATCTAATACACCATGGCATACATCGGTTGTAGGTGGTTGTCGATTGATGCTGTTGAACCTTTTCGATTACCATTTTTCGCTTTAGTCATTTCTCAAATCCCCTCCTGATAATTATTGCGCAGTCCCTAAGTACGATTGCTCGATTTGCTACCAGGTTTTCAGGCCAAAAGGTATTTACGAAATTGAAAACAATTTTTTGTTTCTAAAAACAATGTTGATAGCCTGCAGCTATAGTTGTTTTTCTGCAATAAGTGATGCCAAAATGTTAACATATCAAGTTAGCAGTAACAAAGGTCAAAAAGATTGATAAGCAGACGGTAATAGACATTGCACAGCGGCGGCATTTTGTAGATCATCCATGCAGTCGTATTTTTTCTTGTTACGTAATCGTCATATTTTTTTTGCTTTGCTTTGCTTTGCTTTGCTTTGCTTTGCTTTGCTTTGCTTTGCTTTGCTTTGCTTTGCTTTGCTTTGCTTTGCTTTGCTTTGCTTGTATCAGTTTTATCGTTTCTGCGAAGGAAACTGAAAATGGAAATAAAACGAATTTAGTACACATACAAATAAGCATATTGGAGATTTTCTTCAATGGAATTGAGTCAAAAAAAAAGGTTGCACTGGACAGATTCGTCTTTATGTATTTTTTTCCTTTCAGGTTCGAATGGGAAAACAATTTTAGAAAAACCCAGATCAATCTCAAAAACTAATCCCACATTTTCTTCGTGATAAAATATTTGTAACAGCAATGCATAAAGTATCAAACGAGTTCAAATAACTTCCAGTGGCTCAAGTGGAGCTTCCGCTTAATTTGTATGAGAAGAAATCACCATAACATCTGTACAGTAYTTACTAGATCAATCGCTTATTGATACATTTTGCATCCTAAGGGATCTTAATTGTAATTGACGAAGTCAGGATGTRAAACCGAACAATTTTAATGTGATTTTAATTTCATTTTAAGTAGCCCCTGATGCAGTCATAGCTAATTACAGTTGAAATCCATTTTAACAAGTTCAACAATATTCTTTTTAATTAAATCAGTCAGTTGTTTTCGATACAAGCTATTTGCCGTSATCAGCTCGTACCCAGAGCACGCGCCACTTCCAAGAGGAGGTCTTGGGAACGAAATTGTTCGAGCATGCGCAGCATAAGCGATGAATTATATTTCAAGGATCCATTATCACGTGGGAACGAAAACATCTTAAAAGCACAATTCGGCAAACTTTGATATGTTAATCCTGTTTAGACTGGACGAGAGGGGAAAGGGTTAAGCCTTTTCATCCTMGAGTTAAAAATACCCTAGCTTTGGACAGACAGCTACGATGCTGAAATTTTTGTACMCCTTCCTAAAATTTWTCTGGGCACATTTTTGGCGTCAATCATAGCCATGTTGTTGTCGCGGCATTCAGTGTTCCTTGGTATAAACATCCATTAAAACTATTTAGTAACGCTTTGAAACTTTTTTTTTTTTTGTAATCCAAAGGTTAGTTTGATAAATATTTTATACATTTCCAACTTTCCTTCAATTAGTAGTTTTTTAATGAGTTTTTAAAATGTTCAAGATGTCGGATCCAAATATGGCGGAATTTTTTTTTCAAATTTGCTTTCTTTTAGATTTTCTACATTTATAAACTGCTCTATTATGCATGAGTTGTGTGGCAGTAGGCGGCAGTGTGCGTTACGTTAAGTACTAACGTGTAACTTCTCATCTCGTTCCGTTCTGCTTTCGTGTGGCACGTTTACGTAAGAAATTACGTGACCACTAGCGGAAATTATGAAACAGTGATTATGTCTCACGTGACATGTACCCACATCCACTTGTGTGCATATGCGTTGTATGTTGCGTATGATTCCGTAAATGAAGCCTCCAATCACGTAAGACAATCGATCGGAATATATTCTATCACATATATACAGATGAAAACCCGCAACCATCTTGCCTRTTAAGTTAGAGTACAGGGTTTATAGAAAAAAGAAAAGTTGTGTGCTGGCGCACGTTTCTTCATTGATTCGCGTTGTACGTATGCACTGGTTTCATTATTATACGCAAAGGACGTGCCCACTAGCGGAAAACCAGCGGTATAATATATCCTGTCAGCGTAAAAATAACAACCCACAATCACCTGTACGTATATAGCTACAATTATAGTAGTCTATGACTTGCGTATCCGTAAAGGAAGTGCCAAACATGTCCAATATCAGAAGACTAACGGTACATTCCAACCCACGTAAACCATTACGACCCACGCAAAACCACGATATATTTGGTTAATTCTTTATTTTAGGATTTTTAATTTACAAGTTTATAGAAATGTGTAACAGGTTTCATCTGCGTTTGTTATGAATGCAATCAGTACTTGTTTCTTTGTATAGAATTCTGTRGAAAGAACAATTAGAAATTTGAAAGAGATTTGAATTTTGAAAGGCGTCGGTACTGTTATTCATAAGCTGGTTCCCAGTCTTCGCTCGTTATTTTTTTCGCAAAGAGGCTCATGGGAAGTACCCAGTCTTTGCTCGTTAGTTTTTTCGCAACGACGCACAGAAAGTCAACAATGAATTGAAGCGAGTAAGGCGGGTTTGTAAATTCGGTTGAATCCAGCAAAGGCCGAAAACGAATTTCTTAYACTCCATTTTACATGTCTCGGCGCCATCTTGAAAGGTAACCGAGACACTATCTCGCTTTGATCTAAAGATTTGATTGCCTGTCACATATARCGCCTGGTTCTGTAAAATGGAGTCTTCAAAGTAGCAACGGGTGATMCCGTTATTGACTATTATATTTACCTTAACATATGCCCTTCCTGGGCTGTGCTTCTATGCCGTCATTTCAGATCTATGGAAGAAAGTAGGTTTGAATGGTATTCAGCTATTGGTAGTCGTCGCCAACAAGAAGCTTTTTTAGTGTTAATTTTCCAGAAATAGTCCCCACGGTTCCATGCGCCATCTGGTAGCCGTGCCTTAGCGTCGAAGCGAGACGACCGTTGAACGTGCAACGATAGAAACCTTTCACACCTACAGACAGTTATTCACAGATATCTATCATTGCAAGCGTCTCGCTTCGATGTTCAGGCACGGCTACCTTTCAAGATGGCGCAGGGAACCATAAAGGAGACTATTCGCCTGAAACGGTCATCATCATCATCATCATCAACAACAACAACAATGGCATCATGTTCTAGTGCAATAAAAACAAAAAAGAATTTACTTTAAGCTTGCCGAATACTTATGTTTCGTTCTTTTAGATCTATTCAACAAATTAATCTAAGTACCAAAAGTCTTACTCTTTGTCTTCAACGCAAATAGGCATTTGGCAGAAGCATTTTCCTTKTCTGTCAGCGGGGAAACGTTCTAAGACTTCCTTTTCGTTTGGTCCACAATCTGCCCAAGAAGGAGGGCATAACGAAACACAGCCTACCGAGCCACCTCGTCGGCACTTACATCGCCCTGTACAATTATYGTCTACGAATCGTTGGCCAGCTCTGTAGATTTTCCCCTGATGGAAGCACACATCTGAAAAGAAGAGAAAAACGCTCCATTAATCGGGGATCAATATAGTCAACTTAAGCCTTGGAAGCATACAATCGTCCTAAAATGCGTCATTTGTTGAGGAAATTGAAACAATGCAGTTAGCGAGTGATAGTGTTGACTTCAAGGAATTTTTCTAACAATCTGTTCCCTCTTTCTTCCAGCAAGCTTTTAGGAACCTGCACAATGAAAACATCAATGCTTTGGAGTATTTTGAACGTCTTTCTTCCAGCAAGCTTTTAGGAACCTGCACAATGAAAACATCAATGCTTTGGAGTATTTTGAACATCGTTTAGGCCATTTTACAAAGATATTTTGACTTACCCCTTGGCATTGGTGGTGGTGGTGGTGGCGGACCGTTTAAACGCGGTGTGTTTTTCTTGCTATCTGTTGAAAAAGTCAATAGTAATTAAAGATGTCTCAATTCTCATTATTATTCAATTAATTCTATCAACATTTAATATAMAYCTAATTGAAAAACGTTGTCGGATTCCAATTATACTATGAGAGCTAAGACCGAAAGGAATCATGGGAAATATAACACTGTTTCAGAGCTAACACATTGCCTGCAGTGATTAAAATAACCCATTCAAGTAATTATATAATGCAGCATATTAGGTGAATTTTATAAGTGAATTTCTGAGCACTGCATTCTAAATCTAGTACGGTGTTAGCTCAAATGATATCACCTTTTTGCAAAGCGACGTTAATTCGATTACGTGTATTTTGGCTTTCATGTCATTGCCTGTGAACTCCTGATTGCTCATGTCGATATCGCAGATTTTTTATCGTCATTTATTCCATATTTCATTATTTATTTGATAAAAACTTTTATCATATAATTATCTACAAAATACCTATATTTCTCCATTACGTAAAGTTGATACTTTCGCTAGTGAAAATTACTGTTGAAAATCTCTCACTCGTTCGTTACGCTCGCTACGCTCGCTCGTGAGAGATCTTTTCAACACTCGAAGATAAAATCCGTATCTCCTCGGGACCATGTAATATATCCTATATACATGAGTGCTGGCTATGTACAGTCTACATTACGCATGCTCACTGTGCCTT